GATAAAACGGTGGATTGGTTAAATACAAGTGATAACAGTGCAACCGAAGGTATCTTAGGTGATGAAACAGCGACAGCACCAAATGATCCATCATTCAAAAATGATTTTGGTATTACGTTGAAGTGAGTATTTGTTATAAGTAATCGAATATTGATCCTCATTTCTTTCCCCGTCAATCCATCCCGCTTTACGGTATGTACGTCATAGTTGAGTCAGTCAGTCACTGTGAATTCCACGTCCTAATCAGCTGTTGATTTTCATTTCTGAAAAATTCAGTATACCTCGATCAATAGAAGAAGAAGAAAAAGATATCAATGGAGCACTAGCAACCTCAGCAAAAATGAACATCAGCAAGATTGTTGGAATTAAGTCAGTATCAGTGGAAGATGCCGAAGAAGGGAATGATGAAGAATGTTCGGAGAGTGAAATTGTGAAGAGGAAAGTATTGCTGAATTCTGTTCTGCAAAGCACCTATTATCTTGATCAACCGAAACAAACTGTTGGTTGGTGGTTTTGAAATTCATTCATCGTTTTCCGTTGTTTATTTCTTTCTTATGTTAAATAATTTGTCAAGGACTGGATAAGAAGAGTGACAGAGTTGGAAAGCGTGCTTTTAGTTTTTCGTTGAGGAACTTTATTACGAACATTTGCTTTTATTCTATTCATTTGTAAAGGACCGCAACAGTTTGTGTACAACTTTGCACGTACATTACCTTGCGACCTGTCGTTATTCTCTATGAGGATGCAGATCTACCGAGTTCCTCTGTTCTGCGCGAACCTTCTTCAACATTGACCGAAAAGCTTGACGAGCGGCTCATACCATTTCGTTCTTGGTTTGCCCAGAGGCCTTTTGATGTCTGTTGGTGTCGACTGTGTGATCCGATAGATCCAACGATTATCAGACATTTTTGCAACGTGATCTTCCCAGCGTCTTTTGCTGATGTACACCACATCTTTTATTCCGGTCATGCAACCCAAATCTTGTTCCTTATTCTGTCTTTCCTGGAAACATTACACATTCGCCTTTCCATAGCCCTTTCTGTTGTGGCAAACTTTTTTCTGCGGTTTTCGTGGTAACTCACGTCTCAAGGCATAGAGCATAGTTGGAAGAAGTGTTGTGGTAATGACTATTGTATGTGCATATTGGTTGTGTTGTATGTAAATACTGGTATTCAGCAAATTATATAAATGAGTATTTATCGGTAAAATGAAAGAAAGACATCCATTCGAACGAATTTATTTATTGCAGAGATTCAGTTTTAGATGATTGAAGAGAGGGGCATAAGACTGAGTGCTTCAAGTCATAATTGAAACTTCAGGGTCGAGTCTTAATGATGAAGATGATAACAATCAGCGGGAAAAGGTTGGTGATGGAATTGCAGCTGCAGCAGAGCCGATACCAATACCTTCGAATGCAGTCGAATGCAACCTTGTTCTCAGTCCGAGTGTTCGTTTACTGATTGTTTGTCTTCTTCACGATGTTTATTCCATCTTAAGTTATTATTGCCCTTAAAATGCGAACTGATGCTTAAATCATTCATTAAGACTCGAACATCCTAAGTCGTGAGATTTCATCTTTCAGTTAAACATGAAACAGGGTTCATTGTTCAATTAAACAGGGTTTTTCTTGCAGAGTGAAATATCGGCAATTTCTCTACAAGAGGAGTTGTTGAACGTGGGCGTTGCCGAAAATGAACATGAAACTTCAGGCAATAGTTTATTGGGTAAAGGATGGACAAACCATCCGCCGTTGAATGTCGTTCAATCGGTAACTTATTTCCCAGTTGAAATTTCATTTTGTTCAAAGCTGGTACATTTATTGTTATACATATTTACTGACCAGTCTTCCTTCCTTCTTCATCTTTCATTGCACTAAATCGGTCTCATGAATAATTGTAACAGTGTTTGTCGAATGAAAACGTTCAGGATGGTGACGGAGCATTTCTTCAATCAGGACAATCTTCATCAAATGGCACCGCAGATTCGTCGCATAATTTTGATGTGATGATGAGGAATACAGTTGCTGTATGCGATGATGACTATGAAGAAGTGTGTCTTGTAGCTCAGTCGCTAAAAATTATTACAAATTTGAGTTATGAAATCCGAGTTCGGTAGGGCATGACTGTTGTATGCAAGAATTATAGATCGACGATGATCAAAATTGTACAGTGATCAGTTGATTTACTGAGTGATATTATTGAATTGACGCAGAAAGTTCACAATTAGCTAACGCTGATGTTCATTGTTTCAAAGAAGATTTTCTCAGTTGTGTAAGATAAGCATAATACGGTACGATGTTCTATTGTATTTCGCTGTTTATTTTTTGTTTTACTTGTTGGATCACTGTCATTGTTTTTATTATTATTATTATTATTATTATTATTATTATCATATGTTGATGTCGTCTTCCTTCTAAATTCTATTATATTACAGATGGAAACGAAGGTACGAAGTCGATTGGATTCAGAAATGTTCGCTGACACGCTGAATGAGAGTATTGTGAGTGGGATTGAAATCGGTCGTGCGTCGATCAGTGAGAAAGCTGATGAAGGTTCATTGATCGCTACTTCGACCATAATGCCACTTTCGTGCGGAACAGTAACAGCACAAACAGCAAATCGTAAAGGCAGTTCTTCTGAAGTGAGTGAACGTCTTGGATATGTATGTTGTGTATACATGAACTATGCTGCATTTCAGCGTGCAATAATCGTGAATGAGGCTGATATGAATGGTGAGGACGAGTATGGTATATCAAGAGCGATGATCCCTTTACTGACGACAATACCTCGTGAAAAAGGTCTTGATCAACAAAACTTCAGATGTGCATCATGTAACCGGTCAATTGGACCCACTTTTGCTGATTACATGTTAGTTGTTGCTATACCAACGCCTTGACGTACACATCCGAATTTGCGGTGTTATATTGATTTGTTGAAGGGTTTGTGCATTGGATGCCAAGTATTATTGTGATGGATGTTGGCGTAAAGGTGATACAAGCGTTATTCCGTCAAGGTTAATCCATAATTGGGATTCATATCCAAGGCAGATTTGCCGTGCGAATATGTCGTTTCTGAATGCAATCGCCGATCGACCAATTATACGAATCGATAAAGTGAATATGCATCTCTATGAGCATTGTGCAGCGATGCAAAACATTAAGGTTGTTTGCAGATTGCTTTTCGCTTCTTACAGTTCCGTTATGGTTTTTTGAATTAATACTACTGAACATATTGGTAGGACGATTTTCCACTGTTGTTCCTAAAATACTTTCATGATGCGTTGAAGCATAACGTGGAAATTTCGATTTGATGCAAAGACTTCAATAAAACGATCATCATTCCTTTCATTCTCGTTTCGCTTCTGAATAATTACGAATCGAATACCAATAGTTGAAGTGATTTACAGTCACTTTATTCGTTTTTTTTAAGTTTTTACGCGAAAAAATGGCACTGGCAGTGATGTATTTGTTAACGTGCCGTGAATCAGTTGCTGATGATTTACGTATGAGATTGTGGCCGAAAGAATATTTGTTCAGCGATATTCATCTGTATTCATTTACGGTTAGTTTTTGACAAGTTTTTTAAAAAAATATGATCATCGCAGATGAAGAAAATTCAATTTTGAAGATTTGAGTTAATTTTAATGTTAAATTTTAGGATCTTTTGAGTGTTCTTTCGGGACAGTTGGAACGGCATTTGCAATCGATCATCAATTATGCCATTGATCATATTCATCGATGTTTGTTGTGTGCTCAAAAGGGGTTTGTTTGTGAAATATGTGATAGCAAACAGGTCATATATCCATTTCAAATGGAGGTTACATACCGGGTTGGTAGTCTCTTGTTTTTGAATGCTTATGATATTTATTTATGAAATGGAAAAATATAAAAGATGTTGTTTAAGTGCTCAAAATGTTATTCGGTGTTCCACAAGGAATGTATTGGTGAACGACAGTGTCCGAAATGTTTGCGACGAGAACAATACGCTAAGCAGCCAGATTTATCACCAGAACATTTACCTCTCGACTAAATGTGTTCATTTATTATTACACATTCATTTATTAACCTATTCATGGTGCATTATCCATGCCATATTAACAAAATAAACTCTAATAAATTCACAACAACTAGTAGATAAACAAAAACTCAAGCAAACTTTTATCATGTCATGAATTTATTGTATGTAAAGTTGATGAAGAATCGATTCTCAGTAACCCTTTTCAAGCGATTCCAGCAAATGCACTGGAATATCTTGAGAAGAGACTTTGTCGTATCTTGTTATTTACTGTGGTACGTAAGCGGCTTCAACTTGTATTTATAATTATGGATGTGTGTTTGTGTCTATCACTTAACATAAATTAACAATAACTGCAACACGAACTCTTCATCATTCTTATAATGTGTACATACCAAATTTGTTATTTGTATAAAAAAGATGATAAGTTGTTGCTTCATGTAATGGTATCGTTTTCCGAACGTGAGAAAAAAAAGGAAAAATGAAAAGAGGAATGTAATATACGTTTAGATATAGTGTCATGAATCATAGAAAGTCGTTAACATAATACATTATTTATCTATCTG